AAGGCCTACCCTGACTTGTAGCATACTAGTTTGATCAAAGTTAACTCGATCGTTTGACCGGTTAAGAAAATAATGTGTAGAAGAGGCAAAAGAATGAGGTGTTCGAAAGGGTAATGACAAGAGATATTAAAAGTAACATGCATCAACTTATCATGAAGATTAAAGTTTAACTCTCGAGATTGATAAATAAGCTCATAGATCCAATAGAAATAAACTAATCAAAATCTCGTTGCTAAATGAACATATGACATCTAAGAAAGTGGTTAACTACTGTACTTGGATCTCTCTCCTAATAACTCGATCGATGATTTGTCATTGAGGTCACATGTTCATGTCCTGACGACCCCAATGTTAACAAATATATTAAAGCATATGTTTAAATCCATAAATTAGTTTTCGCGAGAATAAAAAATAAGGAAATACTTAAATACTATACACCAACTCTTTCTTATAATTTCAATTATTGAGACAAGTTGGATTACAGTCAGCACTGTAAAACTTGTTGCTGGACTGAAAGTGTTGTTCAATGTATAACACATATATGACTTCATGAATCATTACCCTTACTTAACCAAATAACCAATGGAAAGAAGGCATAAAAACAGTAGCTTGATGTACAGGAAGTTAAAATGTAAGTACTAAATCGTCCACAAGATGAAAATGCCAAATTTCGAAATAACCCCGAATCTTCCACCAAATAACTTTCCCTCTCCTAACAAGAAGTTTCTGACTTAAGGACAAACAAGTATAGTACCATCCACACTAACAAAATGATGGGCAGCACGCAGCAGCAATCAATAATCAGTCACGAATTCCAAATACATGGCAACTGTTCCTCCTTCAACAATTGCACGGTTTCTTTCTTACAAGTTACAACTGGAAATATCTTGTTACCAATTATTTGACTGTGATGAAAATTAAAATGAATTAAATATCGAGCTAAACTAACACACATGTTAGGTTTTTATGACCATCTTAAAAAAAAAAATTAGTATGATATTTCATATAAATTGGTTCGACACATGCCATAACAGATATGATATATCAATTTGTCATGTTGATTGCATAAACATGATTGGTTATGTATTCACTACTTGTAGCTTTATAAATTCATTTTCCGATCATGGATCATGCACATACACATTTTAAATCTATAAGATGAGTATCTATCTATCTATCTATCTACCTATCTATCTATATCTATATCTATCTATCTATACTATATATTATGGCAATTCAAAAAAAATTTCTTGCCACATAAGCACTTGGAGCATCCACAATTTGCCAAGTTGGACAACTTTTTTACAAAAAAAAATTAGTTATTAATGTATTTATGGAGCTACCTCTCTCTTCTTTAATATTTCCATTTCTTTTAACCAATTATTCTTTTTAATTTATCCATTTATTCTTTTTTGTCTTTAATAATAAGTTACATGTTGATAAATATAACCAAACACACATAAATAATAATTTTTTGTTAAATAAACAAAATATAAATAAGATAACAGAGAGTGACATATATCACATTTGTTTAAATAAAAAATATCTTATTAAACTTTATGAAGTAAATTTTCTACTCATTTTTACTAAAATTGAATGATAAGTTACATTTTTATGAAAAAATTTAACAAACATACACATAAACAATTATGGTTTAATCGATTAAACCAAAATATATATGAAAAGAGAGAAAATAAACATTTGACATTCAATTACATTTGAAAAATAAACTATAGGATTTTGCTACGGTGACATGCATGTAATCGTGACATGGACTTTTCGGTCGACCTAATCCTAAAGGCGGTCGATCGAATTGACTAATTTGGGCAGCACGAGAAAGCATTGCGGTCGACCTAATCCTAAAGGCGGTCGAACTCAATTCATAGCATAATTGATGAGTCATTGTTATCATTATTTATGACTAGTTATGATGGTTTAAAGCGTAATTTATACGAGCAAAAGAACCACACAAATCGACATACATAAGCAAAAAAGACACGGGACATAGGTTGACTTTCTTGTATTCGGTCGACCTCATACCGGATTAGGTCGACCTCGACACCAACACTTGATCTTCATTTTACGTCAAATGATTGGATAAATTGATAGAACAGTTATCGTCTATCTGGTCGACCTCTTTCTTTATCTGGTTGACCATGTTGTTAATGACTGCCATCAAGTGGTCGACCTATATACCTTTACGGTCGACCATGTTGTTTCTGACGCCAACGAAATGGCCGACCGAGGTTTATTCTGGTCAACCAAAAATAACAACTTAAGCTAAGAACGGTCGACCAGGTGGTCTTTGAGGTAGACCGCAATGCTTTCTCGTGCTGCCCAAATTAGTCAATTCGGTCGACCGCCTTCAGGATTAGGTCGACCGAAAAGTCCATGTCACGGTGACATGCATGTCATAGTAGGCATACCCTAAACTATATTACTTTATATTTTGTTGCAATGAAACACTCTCTTATTCGTACAGTATATATCTATAAAATAAAACAAGTATTATTTAGCAAAATGTCAGAGTATAATCTTGATTGAGTAGTTACAGTTATTTATTTAAAAAAACTTCTTATTCATTCAGATCATGTTCTACCTTAAATTCCTCAAATGAAGAGGAATCGCATGTGCAATAATTTGATAATGTGTCTTAAGTTTACATTAATAATATTTTATCTATATCATATTGATTGAGCAAGCTCTGTTGAGGTTCTAAGTCGTATGCTAAGAAATTTTCTTTCAGACTTGGAGTTATCGTCGACGATTATAAATCAAAATTTTCAAAATGACGTAAGTATGATTGTTGACGAACTTTGACTTCATACCCTAGGACGAGACACAAGATTCCTTGAAAAATAATAGATGTGAAGGTTATAAAAATCTTTGTTGAAAATCTACGATAAACATCATGTTTCATCAACTACTAACCTAGGCATTTACCAAATAAAGGTTGACAAATTTTAGTAAGATAGTCAATTGGGATAAACATATTAATCCAGCAATCAAGTATCTTTATCCAATAATCTCAACTCTCAAATTGGTTGTCAGTTCGTCCAAACTCGAGAAACACAAATTTATATGTGTTGTATAAGATAATAAGCTAATGCAAATAATCCAATGAAATCCACTGATATTGTTCAAATGATAAGATATTTTAAATGCACTTGAAATATGTGTGTATTGGAGAAAATCTTTATCAATTATTAATATATATAAGTGATAAATTTTTTGAAAATTACACATTCAACGACCATGTTAAGACCAAAATCCTTGATAGTGTGTGTGAGTGGCTGAGTGCCTTAGATTGAGATTCTAAGCCAACATATAAAACATGACCATCGGTTGAGGTTTAGTATAAACTTTAAGAATTAACAATTGATACATATTGTATAATATACTAGATTTAAGTGTCTGGATAAAAAAAATCCAAAATAGAAATGAGTCGAGATTAGAGAATTTAGTCATCATGAGGGCTACGGTGTGTGTCAAGTTTCAATATGGATGAATAAATCCAATAATAAAGTATCTTTACTAAGAATTTCTCACTTAAAAGTCTTAATCTTTACAACATTGGTCGAGAGTTCGTCCAAACTCGAGGATCATGAATGTATATTGGATTTCCAAAGGAACAAAAATCTCAATCCCTTTCGGGGCTAAATACCTCTGATCACAACCATAGGTGCTAAAGTAGAAGGAAAAAAAGGAAAAAAGCAAAAAAGAACATAACCTCTGATACGATGAACATAATAAAACCATTTCGAGCTATGATCCTGTCATCCCTGCCCTTTTATTCTCCATAAAGGGGCGGCGGGAGAGGATAAGAAATAAATAGTAGGATCTTAGTATTTGCCTCTTTATATATTATATATCGAACGATAGACAACCCCAATGATTGTCTGGCGTTATGGGTGTAAAAGCGAGATCTCTAGATAATTTTAAGTCTAATATATATATACACACACATATATATATATATATATATATACATGTATATGTAATATCAAGGTATACTATACATTTTATTTTACTCAAGATACTATAGAAGATAGGTATTACGAAGTTTGTGCATAAATTAGAGGTTACAGAATTAGGGACTGGAGTGTTCACCTATTAGAGGTTAGGGTATAGTATCATACCCCAAAAAACTATGGTTAATTCAGGTCTAAATTGTAAAACTCAATGGACATATGGTAGTATGAATGCAAGTGTATAGCGTACTCCTGGCGCACGCTAGCTTGAACTATATATATGTGTGTGTGGTTCAGGTTGGCGTACACTAAATATTAGTGTTTTGGTTGACAAGTTTTAACATAAGTTCTAAATGGGACGTGGCAGCGACATAATTTATGATTAGAAAACCGAAGCATCACAAGTGAGTGTGCTAAATATTGGAAATTTCAATATAGACATACTACAAACTCTGTTACAAAATATTTTGAAGATCCAAAATGATTTAAACATATAAATTATAAAATCAATCTCTCCGGCCAACAGGCCGGGTAAAAAGCTAGTTAAGTAAGAACAATAAATCAACCACGAAATCTAATGTGGTGGAAGCTAAGAGACTTGAGCCCAGGTGAAAATGAGAAGAACAAGAAATGGATGGTAACGACTAACGAGATGAATTGTCAATCAAGATATATAGTAAATCTTATTATGATTTTAAAAGTGAGATAATATATAAATATGAGAAATGAATAAGGATATTCGTTAATAATTTATTTTTAAATTGTGAGAAAGGTCGTGGTCGAATGGTTATACAACTATTCATTTCCTAATTCATATTTATAATCTCGTAGAAGGAAAGTTATCACACTAGCTTGATGGAAAAGGAAAATTAATAATTGAATTTCAACCCTCAGAAACTTAAAAGAAAAAAGGAATTGAAGAGTTTGCCTTTTCCAGTTTCCTGTCGTCAGTAAAACATTTTTTTGGCATGTTCTGAAATCTGAATTTCCTCACACGTATAAATAACCACCGCCATTGAAATAATTTTCTCTCGTCCTCCTCATCCTCCACCCAAATCTCCTCCTTCCCCTACCTCTCACCTTCCCCCCTTCCCAGAGAAACCATTAGTTCCATAAATTAACACCCTCGCCGGCGCCATTCCCCATACCGCCGGCTCTGCCTCTGCCTTCGCTTCCCGCGTTCCGGCTGGGCGCCTCCCGGAGCTCGATCCTCATTCCCCCTTTTGCCCTCCCCTGTTCCCGATCTCGCCCAGCTCCGTCGAATAAGGTGATTTCATTTACAATTTTACTCCTCTATTTCCCCCCGCTTTCTTGGATCTCCCCCCTGAATTTCATTCTTCCCGCCCTTTCGTTATGTTCTCTCGTCGGAACGTTGACAATGTGGATAATGTTTGATGGCCTGATACGAGGGTCAGCTTCGTCGCGTCTCTGCCTCTCTGGGTTTTTTGTATTCCCCAGCGGTGGTTTCGTCTGAATTTCGTTGACGAATTCGTTGAAATTTATGAATTTTTTGGGGTACTGTTTGGATCTGGCGGAGGAGAAGCTGATTTACTTTCTGTGGGTTCTTGTTTTTCCCCCTTCCTCGCCCCAAAATTCCGGTTGTTTGACCGCATCCGGACTTTCTTTGACATTTTTGACTAGGGAATGTTTGGCTTTTGTTATTGAGTCTGCATTTGCCTATCTGCTAGTGCACCGGTTAAAAGGATATGGTTGTTGTCAGGGGATTTTATCAGTTGATGTCCTTCCTTCTGCATTTCCGGCAGCAGAAATTCAGGGGTTAATGAAATTTTACAAATTTGTCGGTGCGAGAGAGAGGGAGCAGTTAATCTCTTACCTGTGGAAGCCTGGATCTGGGTGCTTAGAATTTCTCAGGGGTGTTCTATGGCTGCAAGTTTTATCTGCTTTAAAAGATTAGCTACTAGGTGCATCTGTTCTTTCTCTATAGGTTCTGTAGCATGGATTCGGATGTATATGGATGAAATTGGCTGATTTCTGTCTGATTGTTTTGGCAACAGGAATAAGCAGGAGGGAATCATATCAAGATGAAGGCTTTGATCCTTGTTGGAGGCTTCGGAACAAGGTTGAGGCCATTGACCCTCAGTGTTCCAAAGCCTCTTGTTGACTTTGCAAACAAACCCATGATTCTGCATCAGGTATGAGCAAACCTTCGTTTCCTTCACATTTCGCACTGCCACACTTGTCTGTGTTCATTGTTTCCCCTTGCATGATTGCAGATCGAGGCTCTCAAGGCAATTGGAGTAACTGAGGTGGTTTTAGCTATCAATTACCAGCCAGAGGTGATGCTGAACTTCTTGAAGGAATTTGAGGCAAAGCTTGGTATCAAGATTACCTGCTCACAGGAGACGGAGCCACTTGGCACGGCTGGCCCTCTGGCTCTTGCTAGGGACAAGCTAGTGGATAAATCCGGCGAGCCATTCTTTGTACTCAACAGTGATGTTATCAGCGAGTACCCTCTTAAGGAAATGATAGCATTCCACAAATCCCATGGAGGAGAGGCTTCTATTATGGTCACCAAGGTATCAGTCAATTTCACTCTACTTGATTCCATTTCACGTAGGACTTACATTCTGAAACCACAGTACAGTAGTTGACAGTAACATTCATTGTGTTGATCATTGCAGGTTGATGAGCCATCAAAATACGGGGTGGTGGTCATGGATGAAGCCACAGGGCATGTCGACAAATTCGTGGAAAAGCCGAAGATATTCGTTGGCAACAAAATCAATGCTGGAATCTACCTCTTGAACCCATCAGTTCTGGACCGGATCCAGCTGAGGCCCACCTCGATTGAGAAAGAAGTCTTCCCCAAGATAGCTGCAGACAAGAAGCTCTTTGCCATGGTCCTGCCAGGGTTCTGGATGGACATCGGGCAGCCGAGAGACTACATCACAGGGCTCAGACTCTATCTAGAATCACTAAGGAAGAAATCCTCGACCAAGTTGGCCACTGGCTCCCACATAGTCGGCAATGTGTTGGTGGACGAGACTGCGACAATAGGGGAAGGGTGTTTGATCGGTCCTGATGTCGCGATTGGACCGGGATGCGTGGTCGAAGCCGGGGTTAGACTGTCTCGTTGCACCATGATGCGTGGGGTGCGCATCAAGAAGCATGCCTGCATTTCCAGTAGCATCATTGGCTGGCACTCGACTGTTGGCCAGTGGGCTCGGGTTGAGAACATGACAATCTTGGGGGAGGATGTGCATGTGTGTGACGAGATTTACAGCAATGGGGGTGTTGTCCTGCCGCACAAGGAGATCAAGTCCAGCATTTTGAAGCCGGAGATAGTGATGTGAGTCATGTGACAAACCAAAGAAAGGTAGTAGTGAAGAATGGAATTCATGGTTTTGGGGGGAGGTGTAGAATCAATGTATGTTCACTAGGGACTGGTCTGAGGTGGAAGGGGAGTTCTTCCAGTTCAACTGGAAAGAAATTTGCCTGTTTCTCCCATTTTCCCCCTTTTCTTCTCATTTGGGTTTCAATATCAATTGGCCTTTCTCCCATGGAGAAGTGTAAAAGTCAGTCTGTTGTGAGTTGTCATTTTTGTTTTTGTTGCCAAATAGAAATGTGATATAAATCTTGGTGTGAGCAAATTTGTAGCAGTGGGATGGAATGTGGATAGAAATAAATTCAAGATCCTCAGTTTGGTGGCAAACATTAGTTTCTTTTTTCTTGCTCTTATCTACATATTCAATTCTACTGGCATGCTTATTATGTCACTGGCTTGAGCTTCCTAACGAGATGAATTTATTACTAAATACATTTTTGGTATAGTTTAATACTGATTTAGTGGTTTACTGTTTCTCAAGTTCTGCAGAACCTTCTGTATGAATGTATTAGCTGTCGGTGGCTTCAATTATTTGTATGAAGGTATGAATGTATGAACCCCCTCGTTAACTTTTCTTTTCCCCTGTCTCTCTCCCTAACAGGTCCTATAGCTTCCATGTCTCTTTCTTTCTGCACAAGGTACCCCATTTAGCATCTGCACATTATGTGGAATAATAAAACCACACTGACATGCGATGAATCCTGTTCTAAGGAAGTTTATGTTTGCTCTTTCTACAGATTTGAAGCAACTTGCTAGATATGGCATCTGCACATTAGTTGGTAACATCCATTTCCAGGCTGTTGAATGCACCAAGATTTAGGCCAAGTTTGTGACAGAATCCAATTTGGACTCACATGCAGGTCAAAAGTGGGCAGTCACTTTGTCAGAGTGCTGGTTTTATACTCAAGTAAAATGGGATCTTGATTAATTTTTATTCAATCATAAGATGTCTGATTAATCTTTAAAATTTGAAGGAAATCAAACTGCAGGATAACAACCACCATGAATACCCAGAACGTTCAAGATGCCAGTTTGCTGGTGAAGAGTTATGAGTTTGCTGAGAGTTTATGAATGAGGGAAAGAAGAGGACACACTGGAATCTGTGGGAAGCTTCTCCCTACGAAAAGGAATTTGGATAAGGGCATCTCGATAGAAGAATGAAGCAAAAACAACAAGGCCATTTTCAGTAGGGTCACAGCAGAATACATGATTGAGGAGTAGTAGTGTATGATGCAACTTTTTGTGCTGTCTCTTAGTGGTTGCTTATTTGGATTCATTTAATTTGCACTTCTGCAGTGGTCCTTTTCTCTCTCTCTCTGAGTGTGTTGCAGTTTACCAGAAAAGCAAGTGGGAAATGATTTTCTAAATTATTACCTGTCATACTGATTGTAGCACCCCACATGACTCCCCTCATTGATTGAATAAGGGGCAAAGTGGGTCTCCAATCTGCAGTCATTCCCACACTTACCGGCATCTCTAAATTTTATATAACTACGAGTTGTGTTGTTATGTCAACGCCAAACGAAGCAAACCCAGTTGACCATTAATGAGTTTTGCAGAAAGTGACTGGTAGTTGCTGGACCATTGGACCTGTTCTCTCAAGGTAAGAGTTCCCTTTCTAAAAGCTGGTCGTTCACTCCCCACCTTCTCATCATCAGAGAAGTAGTTGGAAGTTGGAGCTGTAGCTTTCACAAAGAGTAGTTCCCAAAAGGAATGGTTCATTGAGGATTCTTTGGTGAAGCTACTTCTGGGTAGTATCTGCTTATCTATCCGAGTCTTAATAGGTTGCTATATATGAAACCAACCCCCATTCAAGTCCTATATTATCATATGAAGTTGAAACCAATCAATATTTGTCGATTCCTGCTCAGCCTCAAACTTCGCTTACATTCCTTCCATTAAGAGTTTATGCAATTGAGAAATAGACAGACAGCAACGGGACGGGGTTTTCCAGGACGACTTTTCATGGTGATGAAAACAAGCTGTAAGGCCTGAAAAAGGAGAGGTGAGTGAACAAAGAAGAGAGGGAAGCGGGGATGGATTTTGCTGCTCATAGTAACTTGTATTTACAGCTACAAAATGAATCACACTTTTATGAATTTTTAAACTTCATACAGACGCCATGAGCCAGAACATGACATGGGACGACACTGCAAGGAGGAACCAGGAGATGAAAGCCAAGGCAATGGAGATTTGGAACCTTTTGCATGGGAAGTGAGGTGTGGCATTGCAGTAGTGCAGGTCTTGAGCGTACAAAATTGTGACTCCTGCTGATGCCGATGCTGCTGCAAGTGACAGGATAGATGTCACCTGCAAAAATCCAGAAAAATGATGCTGGGTTATGAAGCTCGACCTAAGAAGAAATGAGAAATGAACAATTATGTGCAAACATGATGGCTGAACCATCTACCCATTTCTATAGATATACTTAGGAGAAGAGTGCATGAAGCTGAAAAAGATTCTTAGTCTTTGCATTCAAGTATGCCAGGAAGCTTGAAGCAAAGACTAGAGAAGAAGATAGTTATCAACTACATGTTTGAAGCCTTTTGTGATCCTATATAGAAATTGAAAATGATCACTTGAAGTAATGGTAGGCATTTACCCAATCACCGACAACAAATAGGCTCACTAAGACAGGATTCTGCAGGCTTCTCTTTGATTTCAGTGCATGTAGATCAAGGCATGCAAGTCCAAAACTCCATAGAACTTGAAGCCCCATAGATGCAATTAGATAGCTGAAAATTTTGGGCAACATATATATATCATACATCAAGGAACTGAGTAAAAAAAATGTAAATATGGCAGCTCTTCTAAAACGTCATAATATAATCTTTCAGTTCAACTCTACTTCCATCTTCCTTTACAGAAGTCCACAAGAGAACCCAGTAATCATAGCTCTAGAGCTATTCAAGAAGTTAACTGGGAATCAAGGAAGTTAGAAGACACATCCAACTAAGCTAGTGAGACAAATGTGCACAAAAACATTCACAGGCGAAACCCTTATGGTTTACAACACTTTCAACAAGCTGAGCACAGTTTTGCAACACTTCTAATAATTTGAGCCTGCTCACTTCTGCAGGCGACAGCATATTGCAAGCGCACTCAGTTCTTATCTTCCTGTTTAGCATGAAAGTGCTAAAATTCAGTGTTCACCATAGTTATGGTACACGGCTCTCTGATTTTGGTATCAAAGCAACACTAGAAAGAGGAAATTCAACACGAAGAGAGATGGCCTTTCAAGAATAATGTTAGGGCTTTCACTGTCCAACATTCTGTTAACCAGATGAGTCATGGCTGGTGAAAATCAACCCAAGAAGCACCATCAATCAGAAATCAAAACCAGCAATGTAAAAACTAAAGAAAGATAGAGAAATCAGGATCAGTAAGCAATCAGGGAGAGGAACCTAAGAAGTAAGCTGTTACTTAAAAAAAATCAAGCCGCAGTCTCTCAGTGATCACATTGATTAACAAAATTTCTACTATTGATTCAACGCCAAGAGAGCCTGAGCTCATTACTCACAATATTGATGGTACAATCACAGCAATTCACTACAAACCACTTTTATAACCAATCCAAATAGTTCCAACCACTAATCGCAGATCTACTGTATTCAGTTCTCTCTCAAATGCAATCACAATCACAACACCATCTTTCAAACTAATCCCACAGTTCTCTCTGAAACTTTATAAAGCCCTCCCTGGAAGATCAATTCCCTAACAAAACCGTAGCTTCATTAAGGTAAACCCTTGTTTGAATGGACCCCATCTCTTCCCAGATACAGAATTCACACCAGAATAAGCCAATAACCCAGAAACGGACCATTGACAAGTGAAAGCTTAACCATAATCAGATTCCAAACTATCTCACAACGAACACAAACAATCAATGACCACCCAACAGCTCAAACCCATGCAACCACACCAAATTCGGCTCTATACAAGAAATCCAAAATGAATAGAACAAAGCGAGAAAAAGAGGAAATTTTACCAGAAAGCAGTAGAGTTGAAGAAGCCATGGGCAGAAACCATAACCCCAATCGAAGCAGCTGCAAACACAAACTGCCCAACCCTCAGTCCCAAACCACTCGCCCTCCCTGGACTTCCAAACAATTCCTTCATCAGTCCCCCCCACGGCAACGAAATTTACACTTCTCCCCCCGCTCCTCCTCGAACCCAAGACCCCTTTTTCACAGAAGCTCGCCGGAAATGAACCCAACTTGGAGAAATCGAGAATTCCTCATAGCATTCTTACAAGCTCCATGGACAGAAGAAGGGAAATTTTCTGTCTGCCTCCGAGCTGACGGTGGAGATCTTATTGATGCAGCACTTAATGGAAGAATGTTCTTTCCTTTCTTCCACTCCCAGAAATTTGACGTTATCGGCTTTTTTTTATTGAATCAAAGGAATTATAATCAACCAATTTGGACTTTGGACACTTCAAATCAAATGTAAAAATAACAGAAAAAAGACACAGAACGATTTTATAATTGCTTGTGATGGCTCTGACAGAACTTCGCCGGTTCTCACTTCTTGCTTTTCTGACTTCTGTTTCAACTTTTGTAGGTTCTTTATTGTCATTTTGATGAACGGGAAAATTCAGTGTTGGGCTGACTTTATTTAAGTGGGCCTAAGGCCCAGTCAAGAAGGGTTTGTGAGTATCCGGAGATTCCGGACCGCACCTTAATTGGGCCGAGAAATTCAGCCCGGATCCTTAAACCCTAAAACTCCTGCCAATTCCCCGTTCGTCCCCAAAATCAGTCTCTCTCCCTAAAACCCTGAGAATGGCGTTCAGAGCAGTGATACGGAAATCGGCATCTTTGGCCCCACTCGTCGGTCGAGCTATTGGTCGTGTTGAGGCTCGCCGGAGCTTTGGTTCGGCAATCCTCACCGCCTCAGGCCGTCGCCGTGGCTGTCTCTGCGGGAGAGGACACCCTGCTGGGTCTTATTTATGCGGCTATTCTACAGCTGTTGTGAGCAAAAAGCCCGCTGCCGCTGAGTCGCTTCTTCGAATTGTCGAGGATGAAATTAAGGCAGCTCAGGAGACTGATGATCACGATCGGGTAAGTGAGATTTTGTTTATTCCCCACTTTTTGGGTTGATTTCATGGTTTGGCTCTTTCGTTTTGGTTTGGATGGCGTTTTTGTACTTAGTTAGCCTGGAAACAAACAAATTGGCTTCCGGTATGTTCGAGTCTTCGTGGCTAAGTGTAAAGTTTCCGACTTTAAGATGGCTGAAGGTGTAAAAGCTCCAACTTTGTAGAGGAAACAGGAAGTCAGTCATAAGATATTGCATACCCTAGTGTTACAGTAGAGTGGAGACATTATGGTGAAATGGAAGTGTGCCTTGATGGTGGAGCCAAATCCCACAGTTGCTGTACAGAGCTGAACTTGTCACTTGTCAGCTGTTCTTGGTTCTAATAGTTCTGAGTGGTTAAATGAGATTCATCAATTTAAGTTAGTTATGCTAACTAGTGATTTAGTTAGGGTTGCTCCATGTCCCGTCCCTGTAACTTGGACTGCTAGATAATGTGCTTGACTGAAGCGGTATTCAATGTTTGTTTTGGCCTATGCTCAAATTCAGTTTCCTAATGCACTTTGTAGGTTGAGGATGTTCCAGAAGGTTTCCCTTTCAAGATTGAGGATAACCTGGGTCAACAGACACTAATACTGACAAGACAGTACGATGGTGAACATATGAAAGTTGAGGTGCACATGCCTGATCTTGTCACCGGTGAAGAGAATGATGTTCGAGATGACGATGATGACGATACCGAGAGGCCAACTCAGTCTAGCCTCCCGTTGGTTGTTACTGTTACCAAGAAGAGTGGAATCTCTTTGGAGTTCAGCTGTGTTGCTTTTGCAGATGAGATTGCAATTGACAGCTTGTCGGTCAAGAAACCGGAAAAAGATTCTGAAGAAATGGCGTATGAAGGACCAAACTTCCAGTAAGCCTACGACCTGCTGTTTTCTTATGCTGTTTTAGTCAATGAACTTATTTTAACTCTTCAGGGTGTGAGTGGTTTATTAATACATGTGGTTTGCTCTACAGTGATTTGGATGAGAATCTGAAGAATGCTTTCCACAAGTATTTGGAGATACGCGGAATCAAGCCCAGCACAACCAATTTCCTTCACGAGTACATGATCAACAAAGACAGTAAAGAGTATTTGGGCTGGTTGAATGAACTCAAGAAGTTCGTGGAGGCGTGAGAGTTTCTCAAAATCACTTCTTCGATCTCGTTGATTGAAGAAATCTCGTGTTCAACCACTGTAGGTTTCTGAATACAAAGTTGAGGTGCTGTCATCAGTCATCAACAGTAATAGTTTTTTCACATGTAACCAGATGTTATATCAGGTTACTTCATAGGTGGCTTTGGTGTATAAGTAGGAACTTTGGCTCGGAGTGTGTACTCTGCTTAGTGCTTATGCTGCTTCTACTTGCAAAACCGCCCTTTTGCCATTTGGTGACCACATACTATATTGAGGAATCTAAGGTCCGATGTTTCAAAGAGCTTTATGTTGTTGATTTCTTCTTTGGTATACGATTTATTGATATAGGAGAATCTGATTAAGAGACTATTGTTTGAATTATCAGATTTATAATATGAACAATTTATCACGCGGACAAAATGTGACTGGGTAATGTTGTGGCTTTTGTTTTGGGAGTATGCATGAAGGACAAATTGATTATTAATAAAATGGGTTATGATTTAGGACTTGGGAGGTTTTAAGGTTGTCGTCACAATTGTTTTGTTCTTTTGCTTATGTTTTCTGTTTTAATGTTGCATTTGCTTTGTTGTCAAAAGTAGTTGTAGGATCTAAGAAGGCTATTGATAATCTGCATTTCAAACGAAAATGAACTCATATAGTTTGTTCTGCTCGTAATTACCGTTTACCAGTGGAGTGAATTACTATTGATGATTTAATTGCACCACTGTTGTAAACTTGTTTGCTCCCTTGAATCTTTCATGGGAAAAAAGGAAGATGCACCAAGACAATAAAAACAACTCAGTAATGAAGTGCTCGATTTTTGGTGATACCTAACATCTTATTTCCCCTCCACTAATTGCTATATCAATGTGCACTCATCTTGGACATCCAAAAGTAGATCCATCATGTAACTTTTAACAGATTTTCCTAGATACTCTGTTTATGATCTCTTCTTGTACATTTCTTAATATCTTCTGCAACACATTTGTACCGATCCCATTCTATGCAATATCAATTAGAAAAATGCTATGTTAGAAACCCACCAGGCTCAGAACTTAAGGGCACAATCATTAACAACCGCATATCACATATGACAAATCTAATCTTTATTTAACCTCAATATCAGCCCTAACAGAAGAAGCCTACAGCTTTTGAAAGAGATGACAACAGAAAATGTTAAAACCTTCAAATATCCAACTGCATTACAATGAGCTTTCCTAACTACTAGTATGGGGGCCAAAAGAGACACTCAAAAGATCCCAAACTCCACGTTCCCAAATCTGCCCAGCCTACAAACTGGTCATGGATCGGAAGAGGCCCCACATAACTTAAATCTTTCGCCACAATAACTTAACGCTTCCAACAATAGTAACTTAGAAGAGAATGGAGAACTTATTCAGTAACATAAGGTCATGGCAGATATTACAGGGCACCCTAACAATAATAATAAACACCCCCTAATGATGATGATATGTTTTATTAAACCCGTGCTAAGATGGCAAGCAAAGTGCTCAATCTTCTTCCTCTGGCGATGATGCTTGGAAAGCTATACAGTAGTTAAGTCCTTGTGGGTGTAGGTTACTCCCTTATCACCATCTACTATTTGTCCACTGCCTCTCAGTAACCTGCAAATGCAACGTAGAGACATAGGGCAGCTTGTTCAGGAAAAGAAAAGGGTTCTTCTTTTTTTCTGCATAAAAGGAACTTCCTTTCCAGGAAAACTAAAAATGGAATGAAACATGTGGGCAGGGGATGAAAGGAGATTGGAGTGTCGGGTATTACCATCGGGTTGTTAACAATCCTTCGACTCCTACAGGGCCTCGAGCATGGATTCTACTCGTACTGATTCCAACCTGTTTACCCCATCCATCAAGAAAAATCCAGTAATAAGCATAACGCAATCTTAGTTAAAGATGCATAGATAAGATTGACATTTGAGTTGTTGACCTCTGCCCCAAGTCCAAACCGAGCTCCATCACAGAACCTTGTGCTGGCATTGTGGAAAACAGCAGCACTGCATTGGGTAAAAAGAAGAACCGGCATTGCAATGTCAATGATTATAAAACTGAATCAACAGTGATTTGAGACAAAACCATAATATTGTCTATGTGGGCTAGTTACCTGTCAACTTGTCTCAAAAAGGTCTCTGCAACTTCACGGTCTTCTGATATGATGCAATCAGTATGGGCACTGTCAACAAGACGAGCAAACATCAGCAGACAAATTCGGTATGAAATGTCAGAAGAACTTTTATACACAAAATCAATTAAAATCTTGCCTTCCGTGTCCATGTATGTAATCGATGGCAGCATGCACATCGTCAACAATCTCAACAGTACATGCAAGGGAACTGTACTCATGATGTAATGATGCCGGCTCTGGGATGCTCAGCTCCTCGCTTGCCCTTGGCCCACCATGCAGAACCACACCTGAATTACAGAAACATCTCGCAATGAATAGGTGTAATGACTATAACTTACAGGAAGACCTAAAACCCAGAAGAGGTTGTAAACAGTATTCCATCAGTACCTTCATTCCGAAGTTCAAGTGCTAGCTCATTCAGGCCACCAGAGGACACTAAATCCTTATGCACTAGAAGTGTTTCCTGGACATTGTAAAGTAATAGCAAAACAGGTTTAGGTTCGTAATTCGTGAACAAGAAAAGCACGCGAAATGGAGACCAAGTTAAGATGAGAGTAAGTCAGCTATTATACCATTGCATTACAGGCTGCTGGATAATCCACTTTTGCATCCACTACAATACGCTTGGCCGTTTGCATATTAGCAGACTTGTCAACATATACATGACAGACTCCATCTGTTTAGTAGCACAACACATGTGACTTCCATATTTGGCTGCGTCAACAGACCGACAAATGAAAATAATGTTATTTATTACCTGCATGACCCAGAACAGGGATCTTGGTTGATGCTTTGATAGTCGAAACCAGTTTATTGCTGCCCCTAGGAATGACAAGATCGATTACATCATCGAGCTGATTTAAGGGGGAAAAAGGCAACACATTAGTCAAAACTCTCTTTCCAAGTTTTACGAAACAGGGTCATCGCATACATTGCATCATAGTTCTAACAACTATCCACCTTAAGTAGGTCAGGAATTTCATCTCTTGAGGTCACCAGTCCAATAAGCCTTCTCCCAACATGGTCTGGAATGGCATCAGTGATCACCTGTATATATATATATATTTTTTTGTTTAAAACAAATTATAAGGGGAAGAGTAAATACGTAGGCTAAATAATTAATGTTCAAACTTCAGAGAGCAAAGAAGCAGACCTTGTGCAAAATTGCATTTGATCGCCTGGCCTCCTTTCCCCCTTTCAGTAGGAGACCATTTCCACTGCGGATCGCCAATGAAGCAATCTATTGAAAAGAATACAGCAAACTTAAAACAAATGACACAGATTTTATTTTAGGGCGAGCACAAAGGTTGCTGACCATACTATAATATAACCCACCTGCACTAGTGCATCAGGCCGAGCCTCAAAAACAATTAGCAGAACACCGAGAGGAGATGATGTCTTCTCTAACATAAGACCATCTGCAAGCTGGAACCATAAAACAGTATTGAGTAACACCTACCAACACAAAACATTTGGTAACATAGCAAAACAAATATAAGACTAATACTGATTGTTCCTGACCCCCAAACATCATTTTTAAGGCCATCCAAACAATTTCAGTACTTAGGTCAGGTGGACGTAATCAGACAACTTCCCATTGACGAGGGGCTGTTTGTTTTTTAAAATGTGCATTTATCACTCTTATTTTCCCACTCTTTCTGCCCTAACTTATAGTGCAGGCTTAAATCATCACAATTTCAGCCAGAAAATAAAGTAGCGCATATATAAGGTTGTGCTACTAGAGTTGAAATCATAACAAGTTCAACTCAGCACTAGGAGAAGAAAGATATATCCTTACCTCGGTCGTCTTTAAAACGTGACCGACTGGATCTTCCATGCTCGCAAGGACACGTAATGATTTTGAAAGACTTGTAATCTGGAAAGTAAGCATAAAAAAGGATGAGAAATGCATAAAGATAGAAAATGGTCCAGACAAGGTCAAGAACATAAAGTGATAAACAGGCAGTATGTAAATCCAAGTCTATGCAACACAGCATTGTCTTGCCTTGCCAGGCTTTAGAGCCAGCCGTGCTATCAAGGACTTCTCCATTCCAGCCTGTTCAGCAGCAGCCACATCTGCCTCATTTTCAACCTTGATTACTTTTTCATTGGCTTCTAGAGCATTTGCTATGTCCAGCAAAATCTTTTTCCTGTCTTCTGAAGATAGTGCCTGTAGAAGAGGGCACAAACCGAGGAATGCTATAAAGTTAGGGCAAGGTAGAATTATAAATCAATTGCACAAACAAAATCAAAAGCTTCCTTTAACAGTGCAAAGAGATGGGATAATCCACAGAACCTGCAGCCTTCTAGAACATTCCCTTGCTGCAACCGCCATGTCTCGAGCACCTGTTTCTTTGGTTTTGACCCACAAATGAGCATCACGGTGAAAGAGAGTGCCGACATCATCTCCTTGGAGGACTTTCAGTATGCTCTCAGGATCAAATCCGCTTTAAAAGGAGCCAGCTCAAAGATTATTATACATCGATGGACAGTACAAGATAATATCTTACACGGGAGAGATATCAGAATTTTAAAAGGGATCGGCAACAAAATCATGAAAGAAACACTACATCTAGAGTTAGCTTTTCCAAAATAGAAGCACAGATCCTATATAGCACGGAAGAATACCTGGTTATAATGACAGGGACACCTGCCTTAGCCGCCATTACAGCAGCTTTTACTTTGGCTGTCATGCCCCCTCTTCCCAGCCTGGACTTGTCTCCAAATGTGATTCCACCCAGATGAACTCTCTCAATGTATGTACGAATCAACTTCGACTCTGGATCACTGGGTGGACCACTGTAAAGACCCTCCACATCGCTCAGCAGAACAAGAAGATCAGCGTTCAGCTCCAGTGCCAACAAAGCTGCCAAACTATCATTATCCCAAAATATACCAGAAGAATCCTGTAGAAGTAAGTTCCCACGGGTCAGAACTATCAATTGAGGTGAGAAGAATCCTGTAGAATAGACTATTATGCTGTTAACAAAGACCAGGGAGAAAAGGCGGGTCAAGAGGGAGGTGCATAGATAATCAAAATCAACAGATGGAAAATAATTAATTAATCTTGCCCAATTTGGCTGTAAACCAAAACCAGTGTATTGACCTTTACCAAGGATAAAAAACAAAGTTTAAGACTTTATCATGCTCTGATGTGAGAAAACCAGAAGGAGAACCAAGACAAAGTGACATGCCTCGTATGGTGCTCGCCTAGTACTAACAGCATCATTTTCGTTGATTATGGGAACAACCCTTAGCGACATCAGCGACTCTATAGTATGCTTAAGTTGCTTCCTGAATTCTTTATCCCTAAAGTCTGAATCAGTCACAAGAAGTTGAGCAGATGTCACATCCAGCTGCACAAGACAGGATGCAGTTCATTAGACACCCCAAATTAACAGAGCACAAGGATGATGAACAGAACCAAAAATGTAAATATATTTGAATAAAACTACAGCATATTGGTAACAAGACTAATTCTATGAATCACCTGACTAAACAATGTGTCATAAAGGGCCATGATACAGTTCTGCCCAACAGCAGCACAAGCTTTCCCATCGAGACCATCTTGTGGCTTTTGGAGATCAGCAAAACTACAACACCACAAACACAAATCAAATCGGTCTCTCCCAATCTAACCAAATAGTCCTATATTTAGAACTATAACAGTGCGAAAGATAATTTATTTACCCCGTTAACAGATTTACCACTCGAAGTGAAAAAAAAAAACAGATGGGCCCAAGAAATGCATCTTAGAATAGAAAAATGGGAAGTGAGGGAAGTACCTGCTATTGACCAACTGGCGGTATTTCAGTCTTTGGCGGCCAAGGCCAACAGCGCCAGAGGTAACAACAATGACTTCATAGTGCTGGTAATTCAGCTCTTTAATCTGCGCCCACCATTTTTCATATTTATAAAGACGTCTTTTCACAGGAAAAAAAAAACATATGACAAATAATAAAAACAAAACCCAGAAAGAGGAGAGAAAAAAACGATTAACAACCTGCTCGCAGAGCGCTCCCAATCTTCCAAGTGCCAATCTTCCATCACCTCTGGTGACAACAGCAGTCCCAACCTGCAATGACAATCAAACCCAACAGAAATAAAGGGTCAAAACGAGGTCAAAATTGATTGCAGCCATTGTTATCCCTAAAAGGGTAGGAAGGAAACATAATCATAAAGAGGAAAAGAGGCGAACTTTGATGACGATACGCTTCACTTCCTTCACAAATGTCCGAGGGGTCTCGGCGCCGCCGCCGTTCATCATGGTGGCAGTCAGTAGGTGGAGTGACGCCGCAACTCGAGAGAGCGAGAGAGAGAGAGAAAAATGGGTGGGTGGGATTGGAGGGAGATGTTTTGGAGATGCGGAGAAGAGATGCGGATCCGATTGGGGTTTTTATGGAGGGGACTGGCTGAGCATTCCCCGTGAAAACGAAACTCAGAAAAACAATTGCGGCAAAAAAAAAAAGAGTCAAGAAATGGGACAGCAGCGCATGAGATAGAGTGCAAGGAGTCAAAAGCAAAAGAGTGAAAAAAAAAACCCTGGATGGCTGGCTTAAAGAAATCAAAAGGAGGAGAGATGGAAAGGCTGGACACGTGGGGAGGGAGAGACTTAATTGAAATTAGGGTTAATAGTTAATACCAAAACAAGTCCTGAACTTTGGAAAGATGAATTATTTTGTGAGGTTTTCGAAATGACATTGACAATATGATTTTTTTTTATGTGTTTATACTTGTGTAGTTTTAAGGCTTAATTGGGTATCAAATTTGATAAAATTATGAGACAAACAAATTTTGCTGATGATTCTTCATGAAAAATTACATAATCACATTGCAAATCGTATATTTCTCAATGGAAAATTAACAACACTTGTAGATTATGATTATAAAGTAAGTAAAGATTTCACAAACTCCGTAGAAAAGTAATTAGCATGATTGCAACAAGTTTCTCTTAGAATATTATATCTGACAAAGTTCAAACCTTTACAACAACCATCAAGATCAGTAACGCTGCGTTGAACCCAGAGGAAGCTATAACCTTCATTAACTTTCAAATACCGGTAAAATTTAAATGTAAAACTTGTAACAAATTCTAAAATTACACCAGTTGGTAATGCATTAGCCCCTCCCAAATGATCCTAATTCAAATCCCATACTTATAATTATTTTAGCATCCGTTCATATTTCTTACTTCGCCACCAATCAACATTCGACAAAGACACTAAACTTTGTGACGATTATTGATTATCATTTCGAAACATTTATGTCGCAAGTGTCATTTTGTATAGAACTCAAGCCTATCAATCAACCTTGGACAAAGACACAAAACTTTGTGATGATTATCATTTCAAAAACATTTTGTGCGGCAGCAAATGTAAATTTTGTACAAAACTCAAGCTTTCCGACGGGAATTTACCTTCTTTAGATAAAAAAAATTATGAGTGGAGGAACTCGATGTACCAATTTGATGAGTGGAGGAACTTTGATTATGGTACATTTCATAACCAAACAAAAATGTAATTTGGCAGAGTGGCAGCGCATATTTGTCAGCACGTGGTACGTTGCCCAATGAGATGCCGCCACCGTCCGGTTGGGTTTTGGACGGGAGCGGCCGCCGATGCCCTAAACTAACACAGATCCGTCCATCGCGCTTTCACCTGCGGCTGCCTGCCTTAGGTGTTCCCTTGGCGTCGCCTGCCAGAACCAGAAGGCATCTCTTCCACTTATTCTTCAAACAAATATCGGCCCTCCGTTGGGTTTTTATCGTTATTATTATTATCATCCTAGCTAGCTAGCTAACGTGTGTAGTTGCTACAGGCTTCATACGAGAAGAAAAAAATTGGTCTGGTTTTTATATTGTAGATCGAATCTGATTTGTTGATCGGATGAATGATTGAAGAGAGTGAAACGTGAATCAGTTACCAAATTCCATTCAGGTGAAGGGAAGGGGAGGTCACGGTACAGACACAAGTCTTTTGAATTGCAGGTAGAGAGTAGTTGTCAAGGTTGTCAAACCAAACAAGGTGGTCACAGGAGTTGGGGAAGAGAGGACATGTGGCACTGGCAAGCCTCCGAATTGATCAATTTTACACTATATCTGTTTGACCTGTTTTGAAGCGACCGAGTAATACTCGCCTTGTAGACTGGGAAATAAGTGTATGGGTACTCACCTTGTTTATTTCATTTGCCACTATTAACCGTTGCTTACTTCTAAGCAGGATTCGAGATCTGACTAGTGCTCCCAAATGAATGCAATGTAAAAAAGGCATAATTTCGCTTCTTTCTTGGTATATCCATTCAAACCAAGGCAAATTAGAATACAGTTGTCATTTGTACACGAAGTACGTAAACCAATGTGCCCAGATAAATATAGGAAACAAATACATCATATGAAACATCATTTAGACACATCATAGGTCATCTTTATATTAAGACTGAATCATAGGTAGATGGGGTCATTTGGAAATTGCGTATCTTAAATCGTTGTATTGTTATGAATCACTATAATATAAATGCATGCATTGATACAATAGATGCATTTTGAAATTACATTGTTTGGTTGTTGAGATTATAATTTATGAATTGATTGTTATAAAGTTACTTTATAAGGAAATGTCATATTTGTCCTCCACTTTTAATATAAAACAAAACAATCACAATAATCTCAACTTTTAGTTGAGATTGTGCAATCCCTCATTTTTTTTTATTGTTGGTGGGACCCACACAAAACAATACATGCATTGTTTTGCAACTTGACACTTCCAAATGTTGTATTGTGGACAATGCATGTATTTAACAAATACAATGCTAACAATCGCAACCCAGGTACATTTTACTTTTTGTAGATCCAATATGATTGGGAGATGAGATGAATGATTGAAAAGAGGAAAGCGTGAATCAATAATGATCAATTCCTTACAAGGAAGGAGCGGAGGGGAGTTCACAGTACAGACAGCCGTTTGAATTGCAGGCAGAGAGTAGTTCTCAATAGCTAAACAAAACAAGTGGTCACAGTTGGAGAAGAGAGGACATGTGGCACTGACAAACAACACATACAATTAGGATGACAACTTTGAACTGATAAGCTTTATACAATCTATTTGGCCTGTTTTGAAGTGGGTAATACTTGCCTCGTAGGCTGGACAGAGCAAGCATGGACACTCTCCTCGAACAGCCTCCTCTTAATAAGTTTTTGCCTAACTTATATGTAATTTTACTCAAATTATTTAGAATTTTACTTTTATTTTCTTATTATATTTCTAGTTATATAAATAAAAGTTGTAAATATCAATAAACTTCAACTTTCTCGTATAATCTAACTACATTTGCCATGTTATAATTTGTTTTTTGATATTTTTAATGAAAAAATATTTATAATATTTTCCCTTTAAATTACATACCATATGGATGGACCTATCCCGACCAGCAGGCCTGACCAATGGGATGTGCCGGGAGGCCTTCCGGCATAGGGCATCCGAATATTATGAGACTTCCCTCGTAGGTCGATCCAGTCCTATATTGTAGGATGGACTCACAATGTATGATTGATTACTTATGTTGATGCTTTTAAATCTGTTAATTAATACAAGTGCTAATTATTGGCCTATATTATCGTATAAATAAAGTCCTATATATGTTCTGCAAGCCCTACTTGTGTTATAAAATTACACAAGAAATCGTTGAAGGATTAACGATAATGATTGAAAATGATTTCTCGTAGAATACAAAAATTGAAGAGTTAATAGATAGTTTGGGTTGTTTGATGGAGTATAGTATCGCGCGGACCTGCCTGCCAATTGTCATTCCTACAGTGAGTGTGCATGGATGGATTTCTATTTTCTCAACATTGCACCCTTATCCCAACTATAATTACCGGAATGCATATGCCTTGGAGCTTAGCCCTTTGTTTCTTTCTGCCGACGGGATAAGCCACAAGCTCAAAGCCTCGATCGAGGAAGGCTCCAACTCCAAAGAATTGGATTTTGGTTGGATCACGATGATGAGATCAACCAATCGGTCTCTATAACACATTTCTATTCGGATATACCCCAAACCCAAAAACGCCTAACAGCTAGCTACGTGTTTTTTACCATTCAAGATAAGCTCTCCCTTCACTGTCTTGCAAAAAAAAAAAAAAAAAACTAGCCAAGATTTGGAAAGTAAAATTGGTCGACGTTGATGGTGATACTTCATTCGTTTACGTGTTTTCCACCAATGCCATACCCTAATAAATGTTTATCACACTTCACAACCCTCCTTCCTCCTTCTGTCCAAGGCGGCAAGATTTTCACTTTCAAGGAGGAGTTTCGGGATTGGGAGGGTGATGAGAAACAATTGTCTATAATGGATGATTTTTGCTCAAGTATAAGTATCGTGTTTCATTTTAAAACAAAAAAAAGACGAATTCTCATATCCCAACTTTCAAACGAGCCCCAAATGTCAAGTTTAGAATTAGACTTCAGCCCTATAGTGTACATCCAAAGACAAACACCATGGTCTGCATTTCTATTATCCAGTATATATAAATTGTGGTCTTAGAAACAGCAAAGTAGTGTAGTGTGATTATCAACCAGATTATATCATGGTAAAGTACAACCATACAAAAGCAAGCAGCCATCGGAGACGGTAAATAGAGGGATTTGTGTATTTACAGATTTCTGCACAATATTCAAACTCCAACAAAGACATCCGTTCGGGTGGACCAGAAAAAAATGAAAAGAAAAGCTTTCATCTGGGTTTGTCTCCCTATCCAAAGTCTCCTAAGAATTACTGCAGACTATGCATACAAGCCCCATATTTTTCAGTTCAACTCGTCAGCCCCAAGAGGACAAGTAGCACTCCTATTTTAAGGCACAGCTCTGCATGATTCTAGTTACCCGTCACAACAAAATATGAATCGAACGAACTTCGAGTCTCAAACTACCGATCACTTGCAAACTAGTAATGCACGGGAGAGGTTACCTGCTCAGGGGAAAAACCAGGCCTTGATGAAGATTGCCAGTGCCAGTTGCAGTAGAAACGAAGCAACCAAGACAATATTGAGATCGCCTCCTCCAACAAATGTCTTGAGGTTTGCAGTGACGAAACATGCTGAATCAACTCCAGCACCCAGTATGATCAACCACCTCAGGAACTCAACTGGGATAACCAGCAGCACCTGCAAAATATTTACAGTACCGCATGCACAAGATGATAAGGTAAAACTTTGTAAGAGAAAACAATAATATCAATGGTGGATTGACACCAGGCGGGATACTTACAGAACATGGGACAAAGATGAAGAGAGAGTATCCCCACATGCACCAGAACCGTATCAGGCTTGCACTCAATTCAAGATACCGAAGCAAGAAGTAAAATCCCAGAGGCACAATGATCGCATAGCCATAGATCGAGACTGCCGCGGCATTAACATATCCAACATCAAAGCTCCAGGAAGCACTGCTGTCGGCATGTTTCAGCATGAGATAAGTGGCACAGTTTCCTACAGCGGACAGTAGGAACACCAATGTCGTTGCTATCCAAACCAGTCCATATCTACAACAATGAAAAAACTGACACTTGTGAGTCTTTTTTTTCCCCATTAGATAACTTTTATCACCGAGACTCAAAAGATACAGTCTAAAAATCAACGTGCTGCAGCCACGAAACAAAGTCAAATCCCACCAACCAGCGGGGACCTCACGAAAGGGCTAGAAATATTATC